CCTCAGGACGTCAGCCGCCGGACCGGCAGAAGGACAGGGCCAACAAGACCCCTGTAAGTTACTCACTGTCCCCACACCACCTACTGCACTCGCTGAACAGGCAATTCCAGAGGCCCCCCTGAGGCTCCACTATAGGAGGCACAGACCACAGTACAGGAGTCTGTCTGCATTTTAAACACCACCCCCACCATGGAATCTTGAAGAGTAAACAAGCCACACTAAGAAACACTGCTCTAAAATGGCTGCCATCTCAGGGCAGTAAAGCTACTCTATAAGATACCACAGTGACAGCCATAAGTCACTACATCTCTGTCCAAACCCACAGAACACATACCACCAAGAGTGATCCCTCAGGTGAACTATGGCCTTTGGGAGATGATGACGTGTCCACGTTGGCTCACCGACTGTAACAAACGTGCCGTCTGGTGGGGGATGTTAATGCCAGAGGCAGCTATGCATGCATGTGAGTGCGGAGGTGGGAGGAGAAAGTGGAGCAGAAGGTAATGGCGAGTATCTATACCCACCTCTCAATTTTGCTGTGAATTAAAACTGCTCTAAAAAATCAAGTTTGTTTCTTAAAGACAATAAAAAAAGCTACAAGAACTCTGTGTCTCAGAAGACTTGGACCCTCTCCTTTGGTTTCCATCATTTTGGGGCTCAGTTTGTGATGTTTCCCAAACAACAGACAGAACCCAGGCTTCGCCTACTCGAGGTCCTGCCCTGACGATCACCTGTGTGGCTGTGGCGCTCACAGCACATGCAGGACTCACTCTAACCAAGGCTTTGGCCCCCCACCCAACTAAAGAAAAAACAGCGTCAGAGCTCTAAAGCTTCGCCCAGGGTCAACCGCGTGCCCATCTGTCCTCCTACCAACGCTGCTGCTCCGGCTTCCTCTGCCTTTCCACACACTCACCTGGAGGAGCGGCTTGTCCTGCATCCACATGCAGTAAAACAGTCCCTTCCACACCTTCAGCAGCTCGTCATGAGTGAAACCACCTGCACCGGAAACAGCAACACTCAGACTAAGTGAGCCCAAACTTTCAGTGCGAGGAATGAAGCCAGAGAAATGTGATGGCCTGAACCAGACCAAAGTCCTGTTACTGCAAAGGTACCCTTCCCAAGCCTAACTCACTCCTCCACTCCCAATTCCTAACCCACTGAGCCTGTGGCTGTATGGACACCCTATCCCATGGAATGGTAACTGCCATTCCATTCTTTCAGTAAGAACTGAGAATCTACAAGCATCAGGCACCATACTTCACTTTGGGGGGATTCAAAATTGAGAGTCATCATTTCCTGAGCTGGATGGTGGCTGGCCACACAGCTGAATGTGCCAGTAATAAATCATCTGGCATTACACGTGAGAGTCTGCACACTTTTCTGTGTTACTGCGCTGAACGTCAAAATAAAACGTTGACTCATAAGGCTAGTAAGGAAGGGCAATATATAAAATCGCTCAAAATATTTACTGTGTTCCTCACTGTGTCTGGAACCCTGTTCCATGAGCAAGGGTGCTCAGACTTCAGCACTAGCACTGGAATCACTGGCAGAGCGTCTTAACGCAGACCGCTGAGGCCACTGCCAGTTTCTGACTGAGCAGTGCTGCGATGAGACCAAGAACTGGCATTCCTACCAAATGTCCAGGTGATGCTGAGGCTGCTGATGGCGCACCTCACTTGAGAATCGCTGTTACAGACCAGTTAACTACCATGTCCCTGCCCTCGCGGAGAATATACCACAGTGAAACTCAACACCACAATCCGATATCTACACAAGGAGAACTGAAGTGAAAAATGCCGCCGGGGTAACTGTAAAGCATCGTCCGCAGGACTGCCGGGCCACGTGGAGGCTTCACACGGATCGGAGGCCACCCAGCCCCGACCGCCGCCCCCGCCGGCCACGCGCCAACCTGCAGTCCGCTGAGTCCTGGCGACGATGTATTTCCGGAGCTTCCTCACCGCCCGGTCCCGGGTCACCTGCTCGTTCCCTGCCAGGCGCTGAGCCAGCTGGATCTCAGGGGGAAGATGCACCCGTGGAACCATGGTGACCGTCACCACAGTCCCCGAGAACCGCGGCGGCGCAGCTTCCCAGTGGCGCGCGTGTGACGTCACCAGACCGCGCCGGCCTCGACGGCGCGCTGCATGACGTCATGCGCCCGCGCCGACCTCGCCTGGACCACGCTCTATTGCCACGCGTGGGGCAGACCGGTGCTAGACAGTTGGAATTAAAGGGAGCTCGCGAAGCGTGTGCCCGCCTTCTAGGTGGGGCTGTTGTTTAACCTGATTATTGACAGAGGCTCTTTCTTAGCAAAAACTACCAGCGAGCACAGGCAGAGGAATGGTAGAATTGGACAAAACCCTTTGCAGCCCCAGTGAATCTTTGATTCAGACGAAAATGGCAAAAGGGCAGAAAAAGTGGTCGGGGACAGGGTTTACAGGAATATCAGCCCCCTTTCCGTCCCTCCTCAAATGGCCTGCCACCGCTGGCACGGGTGCCCCCTCCCACGCAGCAGCATCACTTGTGGGCCATCTAGGGTGACCCTCATTCAGCTTTCAGGTCTGCACCCTGGCTTTCAGGACACAGGAAGGCCGCAGAGGTGCACAAGAAGACACTCACTACCCCTCTCGTTCTGGGGTAGTCCGCAAGACTACTGTCCTGATATCTTCAGAGAGTTAATGTCATAGATGAAAGAAAGAATGTGTATATAAAAGAGAGGATGTACAAATGCATGTACAAATCTTGATTAGATTCTGGTACAAAGAAAAAGCTGTAAACATCACTTTGGGGGCAACTGGGAAAGCTTGCATATCAACTAGATTTTAGATTACAGTGCATAATAATTGCTTATTTTCTTGGGTGTGTCCATATAGTGTTTATGTTTATGCAGAATGGACTCAGCAGACTTTTTCTGTAAAGGACCACACATGAGGGAACTCCAAGGCCAGGCTCAATGACCTGCTAGGCTAAGAGGATGCAGGGTTCTGAGTTATTCGGGCAAAAGGATAGGAAGCAAAATCAGCACAGGAAAAAGGCACAGGGAGAGATCCCAGGGGACACCAGGAGGAAGTGTCCACCATCCTCTCCAGGTGGAGTCACACAGGCCATGCTGAACTCCCCAGCAAGGACCTGTGACAACACGTGGGAGGGAACAAAATGGAGAGACATACTTTTTGTACATCAGTGGGTGCAGGACAGGTAACATTGAACATGTACAGTAAATAGAGACGGTGTGTGGGCAGCAAGGTAACAGGCTTCCAGATCATCCACCGCTGCCACTCTGATTTATGCCTACAAAGGGCCTGGAAAAGGAAAGTACTCTGACTTTTCGCAGGTATGTTACCCTGGATGCATAAGATCAATGGGCAGGGCTTACTGAAGGTAAAGATTGACCTTTGCTAAGGAAGTTATATGCCTATAAGGTGATTACTCACCACCACCTGTCCAGCCAGGGATTCACGTCAGATCACCCTGTGTGGTCCCTTTCAAAAATTAAGCTTTCAGGCCTGCCATGTAGTCCCATGAGCTTGTCAGGTCTGCTATGTAGTCCTTTTTCTGTTCTACATACATTCATATACTTATAAATGAATTGTGGGGGGCTTTCCTTCCCTTCTCAGGGTTCAACCACATCTAGCCTCCCATCCTTCCCTAAACTTACGGAGCCTCCAGGAGGAAAGACTGGGGCTGTCCAGCAGTCACCGCCTGGAGTGAGAAGATGCCCAGCATCCCCTGGGGTGCAACCCTGGAGCGGGGGAAGAGGGTGCAGCTGGAGTCCAATCCCACCCCAGCCTGAGGCACTCAGAGTCATCTCATCACTGGACTCCATGGTGCCTCCTCTGTTCACCCATGTCAGCCCTTTGCTGTGTCCCTGGGTCACTTAGTGGTAACATCCAGAGACACTGGCACAAGGGGGTTTGCTGGCTGGGCCTTGCAAGATGAGGGGTACAAGGCCATCGAATGCACTTGGGAATAAAATCAGGTGGAGCCTGCTCCTGATTTTAGGATGCCCTGGCAGCTTCTGCCTCTTTACCTCAGCTACTCCTGGTGCCCACTGGGCACAGGCTTCACTCCCTATATCCTCTGCGGCTCTCTGGTTCAGCTCCCACTTGTCTCTGGGTCCCCCCACCAGAGTAATCTGTCCCACTTGGGGCCAGAGCCACTCAAGGGCTTCTCCAGGGCCCACCCCTACCACATCCCTACCACCCCACATGTGGGGTGACCCCTGATCTCCTCTAAAAGCCCAACCACCCCTGCTTAAACCTATGATCCCCAATTTACCCTGCAGGGCCATGCCCATCTCAGCATCAGAACAGACCCCCCCTCCTCCCAGAACCCATTCCTGCCCCTCCTGGGGCCTAGGGAGAAAGTGGAAAAACACACACTCCTCTTGCATTGGTGGGTACAGGAGAGTTAGCGTGTCCCCTGCAGGGCCACACCCACTCAAGCAGGGCTACTTCCCCTTCCCCCCTGCGGGGCTATAGGAGAGGGAAAATTCCCCCTTCTTCCCTTCTAGGTTTTTTGGCTGGTCTCATAATTAACTTCAAGTGGGACAGATTAACAGGAAAAAAATTTAATTTCATGCATATGGATCCCCATAAAGATATGAGATCCAAAGGCTGTCGGGCAGCTCAGGAGTGTAGCCGTCAGGCTGGGGGCCTGACTCAGGTCTGGTAAGAGGAAGGCCAATCAATGGAAGATGGGAAGACGGGTGTTTGATACTCAGATGTGTCTACCGGCGCTGCAGGTGAGTCTCAGATTGAAAAAAATATATATTATATATATATATAACATATATATGTTTTTATATATACATATATTGCTCTGTCTCTGAATCAGGCTCCCTATCTAAATGCTTTCAGGTAATTAAGGGAGATGTGGACATGCCCCCGCCCCCTCCTCAGTGTCCCCGCCCCGCTCCTCAGTGTCCCCGCCCCTCATCCAGTCTCCTCACCCCACCACTCCCACCAGGAGGCGCCCTCGCCAGGTCCCGCCCTCGCATCATGTGACCTCGCGGAATTTGAGCGGAGGGTTGTACCCACTCCCAGCCACACCAGCGTTGCTGTTCCGGGTCTGCTGCTCCTAAGTGCCCGCTGACCCACCATGAGCAGAGGACTGACGCTGTGCGGTGGGCTCTCCGCCACCAAGCCCTCCACGGATGAGATCCAGACCATCGCCGACCAGGTAGGTGGGGCTGGGTCCTACCGAGCCCAGGGTCCATCTGGCCGTTTTCGCAGCATGGCAGCTCCCGCCGAAAAGCGGAGATCCTGGCTGAAATACGCGCACTTAAGACTTGGCCAGTGGGGCGAGACTGGGACAAGGACAGAAGGGCCTCAGCTTCTGGGAACCAAACCATAGCACTGAGAGGGAGGGGCCTGGCATGTTGGCCTCAGGTGGTTAAGGGAAAACCACAGACCAGGAGATAGAGCGGGTGGGGTGGAAAGTGACAGTCAGTGAACCTGGGGAAGGGTATCCTAACTTACAGTCCTTCTGTATGTTTGAAACTAACTCCAAATATGCATTTCCCCACAAAACAGAAACCAGGCACTGCTTGATTCCTGTGCTTCAGTTTTCTTATGTGTAAAGTGGGCATCACTAAGGTGCTTTCACACAAGGTTCTGGGGAAGGGGGAATGGTAGGGCCACAGGAAGGCTTGGGGAGAAGAAGAAAAGCGAAACAAACCTCTTTCTCCTGTAATGCTCCTCCCCTGCTTTTTCTTCCCTAACCTGAGGGAATCCCGTTTTTGCCCTGGTAGTTTAGACCATCTGACCATACTTACACATGATGGTGAGTCAGTCCCGTGACACTTCAACAAACAGGAAGTTGCAGGGACTGCATGGCAAACCAGAGAGCTTGCATGGAGGTGTCTTCCCCACACTGCTCAGAGCCCACACTGCTCACAGAGCCCAGCTCTTCCTTACTGTTCTGCTTTCCCAAGGCTTCAGAAGGGTGGGACGGGCCTGCCCTGTTCCTACCTGACCCTCCCTCCCGCCCTGAGCTGCATTCTCCTTCCCATTCTTATCCTGGGGTGGGCCCCTCCCTGAAGGTTGGGGTGGCCACAGTGACTCATTAACTTGTGATGAGGGTGATCTCTGTTGGCTCCCAGCAGCTAACCTGCTTCCTGTGGCTGCCCTGACTAAAACCCTCTAACCCTGTAGAACTGGTACAGTCACTACAGCCAAAGCCAACCTGCTCCTGTGCCTACTAAATAATCTAGATAGCAGATTAGATTTTAAATGAAGAAAAAATAAATTTAAAATACAAACCTGCTTTCTCCTTCCTCCATAAAGATGCTCAGTTAGTAAGAGGGCAAGATCCTGGGAGACAGGATTGAACCAAACATATGATTGATTCCTGTTTGAGGTTTAGGATTAGCCTCTGCCCACAGGCAGGGCATCCTCAGACGTCATCTACAAATGCAGGACGGCGCCTTCACCTGGAAAGCACTTTCTCTGCTGCCCTCTCTGTTCCGGAGGATTTGGCAACAGCCTAAGTGCCCAGCAGGGGGAAGTTAAGAGAATGAAAACACATCTGGAAGATGAGAGATTAAATCTAAAATTAAAATTAACCTCAATTAAGCATTGTGAACTGCTTCAAGTTTTTAATTCTAAGAAAGTAACTATTGCATGTTTAGTTAAAAAAAATGTAAACTTGTATTGGGTTGACCAAAAGGCCTGCTTTTTTTCTGTAAAATAGGACAAATTTTTCCTTTTCACCAATGACTTTATTGATTTGGATATTTTGAGTGTATTGGCTATCTCCCGCGTGGTGGAACATCAGTTGTTCTCAATTACTGTCTCCACTTGATCGCTATCAACTTCAACTGGTCTCCCTGACCAGGGAACATTGTCCAGTTTAGAAAATCTGGAAAGGGCCACGGCTGGTGTGGCTCAGTGGCCTAAGTGCCAGCCTGGGAACCAAAAGATTGCCAGTTTGATTCCCAGTCAGGGCACAAGGTTGGGTTGTGGGCCAGTTCCCCAGTAGGGGGGGTGTGAGAGTCAACCACACATTAATGTTTCTCTCCTTCTCTTTCCCCTTCCTCTGTCTAAAAATAAATAAATAAAATCTTTCAAAGATTGTTTAAAACAAGAGAAAATCTGTGAAGGGCAGGCATTATAGGTTGATCTGCAACATTCACTGACAGATAGACAGAAGCTCACGTGTCAGGCACTTACTCTTGCAGGAAGGAAGCCGCTGAGTTTCCCCTTCTGGCTCATCCCCTAGGTCAAGTCCCAGCTGGAGGAGAAGGAGAACAAGAAGTACACCATGTTCAAGGCTGTGGAGTACCAGAGCCAGGTGGTCGCCGGGGCAAACTACTTCATCAAGGTGGAGTACCAGCTACAAGGGTGTACCTGCAAGACCTGAGGGGAGGGAAGCGTGTAGGTGTGAGGACAGGGGTGTTAAAGGGGTCTTGTGGCAGTCCCCGGCTTCAGGGTATCTGTCCTCTTTAAAATGATGATGTGTGTGCACCCATGCAGGCCTTGGTGAAAAAGGGGACTGAGCTTTCAGGCAACTGAGGGTTCTCAAGGGACAAATGTGGGGTGCCAAGGGTGCTGGTTGGGGCGAAGGGTGCCTGCTATGTCTGAGGGAGGAAGATGGGAGTGTCACCAACTTAGGTGCAGATGCCGTAAGGGACTTGGCTTCCACACACCCAGGGGCTTTCTCACCCAGTCCAGGCGAGTCTGGGGACTTGAGGTCGGAGGCAGCAACTGCCTCTCTTCCTCACTCGACTCTCTTTACAGGTTCAAGTTGAAGATGATGATTTTGTACACATTCGAGTGTATGAAAGTCTCCCACATGAAAACAAGCCCTTGGCCTTGCACGGCTACCAGACCAACAAGACCAGGCACGACAAGCTGGAATATTTCTAGTTCTGGATTCTGGACTGAGCCCACTGTCCATGTGGTTAAAGTTTCTCCATATTTCCTCCTTTGTTTTGGGTTTGTTTTCTTCATTTGAAACCATAATCACCCTATAGAAGTGTTCAGATGTATTTAGAAAGTTCTTTCATGGACACGCTCTAGCCTGAGCCGGCTGCAGACCCCCTATACCTGAGGAGGAGATCCCAGCAAGGTTGGTCCAGGTCACAGCTGGGCGGGGGGCAGGCCCAGGATTCTGGGAGTCTGTTCCCACCACAGCTCTGTACACTGTGGCCAGGACTCTGGGTCCTGTCTCCAGGGCATGGTTCCCCCATAAACAAAAGGGTTGCAGAGAAGCCAATTCTAGACCATTAGCTGTAGATGTGGTCTCAGTCAAACACTTCATATTTCCATAGCAATCCACAGGTGTGAGGACATTGCAGGTACCAAAGTGTCGGGCAAACAAACTGGCAGCTGCCCTGATCACCAGCAGCCTGGAAGACTGTCCAGCTCATCCAGAGCTGAGCTGCAGGTGCTTGAAGCCAGAGCATCTGAAGAGCACATGTTTCAGCAGTGCTCTCTGTTCAGCAGGGGGCAGGGCCTGTCAGTGAGGTCAGCCCCCTGGTTGGTTTGCCCTGTGAGTTTGTGTAAAGTAGAATTAGAAAGGTACCCCCGAGATAAGAGTAAGGATGGGTGAAGTGTCTGTCTTTTCTGGCTCAGGGTTATCCGTGCACTGCACTTGGCTTCCCTGCAGCGTGTGCCATTCTGTGGTAGGGTCAGGCTGTCTGGGCTGCCGGGCCATGCAGAGCACGGGGGGGGGGGGAATGGGGAGCAGCCCAGCTGGGAAAGCAGCATGGAGACATCTCTGTGTGTATCCCAATCTCTCTCTATGCACTGTGCAAATAAAACTTCCTTTTGTTTTTTAAAGATTTTATATTAAGAGTGGCAAAGGGAAGGAGAGAGAGAGGGAGTGAAACATTGATGTAAGTGAGGAATGTTGATCGATAGCCTATGGCATGCCCCTAGCCCAGGACCTGGCTGGCAATCCAGACATGCTTCCTGACAGAGAATCCAACCGGTGACCTCACTGTGCAGGACGTCACCCAGTGCACTGACTGAGCCTCACCAGCCAGGGCAACAATAAAACACTGTTACGACATGCTCTCGATTTGGCCATCAGTAAAGCAGTTTGGCAGTGAAGTGAAGACCCAGCACAGTTCCCACCCGGGGTCCTGCAGGGTCGGCCACAGGGAGGCAGCACTGAGGAGGCGGGCAGGGCCCAAGCCCGGGTCCTGCAGGCAGGGAGCTCCCACAGAGGCAGACCTCCCTGCAGGCACACAGGGTGTTCCTGTGGGGATGAGGTGTCCCTGGTGGCAGTCACACAATGCTGCGATGTGCCACCGCCACCAGGCGTGCACTTTAGCATGGTTAGGTGTGTGTCCTTTGAATTTCACCTCAACAAGAACACAGCACAGGATATCAGATCAGAGCTAGTTTTGGGTACCAACGCTGGGCTGCAGCTCTTCCATCTGCCCACCAGGCCCACCCAGCCCTTCCTCTGCCTGCCCAGGGCCCTGGCACTGGCCTGTGGGGATGCCCTTGCCCTTTGTGCTCCAACCGACAGCTACAGGGACCACCTCGGAACCTTGGTGCCCTGAGGTTCTGAGAACTGAACTGTCTGCCAGTTAGTGCTTCATGCTAAGATGGTGATAGCTCCCTTTCCCTCTGTGTGCCCCCGGGGGTGCTGGCTCCCCCTGTCTGCATGCTTGTCCATGGCCCTTTCACTAAGCACTCCTCAAGTCACTGGCCAGTGCCATCTTTCCCCAGCACCAGGAAGACAGTGGTCAAGGGCCCCTCCCACCCGAAGTCACAGGCCATATGGCTCCAGGTACCCTGGTCCCCTTGGGATGAACTGAGGATTGGTCTCCAGGAGTGGGAGGGTGGATAGGACCTACTGGGCTGGGAGAGCCAGAGCTGTCCCCACCCTGGTGTGAAGGAACTGGAACCCAGAAGGGGCAATGACACACGATCCGTCACCAGAGCTGATCCTCAGAATGTGGCAGGGAAGGGCCAGGAAAGGAGCCCCCCAACCCTGATCACTGGTAGGGTCTTGTAGGAGCCCTGAGGGCAGGGGGCCCTCTGCCTGGGACATCCAGGGCAGCATCCAGGATGGAGACTGGTGGGAGTCGGGCGAGAGGCAACTTGGGCCACAAAAGGCAGTCAGGCCCTTTCTTTAAGAGGGGGACATTTAAGGGACAGCAGCAAATGCAGCTTGGTTAACACAGTGCAGGTACTGCACAGGTAATCCCTGGAGAAAAGAAATCCTCAGGCTTCACCACAACCACATGAAGACACTCATTTGGAGAAGACCGTGTGGGAACGGGGCGGCACACTCAGGCCTTCACCACGCTGACCCTGGGACCAGCATCTCATGTTTACAAACACATCCACACGCTCACAGTGCACAGGGCTGGTTGCCACGGGGCCTGTGGAACCATCACCTGAAGTTCACAGAGACCGAGCCCCTGACAGCCCAGACCCTGGGGCCACAGTCTTTGTTCTCAGGCTGCATTATACCCCAGGAAGCCTAAGACCCCAAATTCCTCCCCCAGAAGGACCAGGACAGTGTTGGCCAGGCTCCATGCCAGCAGCTCATTCCACCCGTTGGTCCAGTTCTGCAATCATTGGTTGAAATGCCAACTCAAGTTCTCAATTAGCATTCAAAACACCACTAGGCCTACCTGGAGGTTAGGGAGTCTCTGCGGGTTCCTCACATATTAACATCTACACCTTCCATCACCAAGACAAGGGTCGCAGTGTCACCCCAGGGTGGCACCACCTGGAAGGGCTGGCCCTCTCTCTCCAGCTGACTTGCAGGCCAATGTCCCAGCCCAGGCAAGTGACCCAAGGCCTCAGGAAGGCGTCTCCTACAGAATGGGCTTCCTGTCTCACTAAGATTGGAACTTGCCCATTGGGGTGCTTGGCCATGGAGGAGGGGAGGCTGCAGGTTGGGGATTCCTCTGGCCATGACCACTGGAAGCAGGGCTTAGAGGTGGGCGGGAAGCCTTGCTCCGAGTGTGGGGCCCTGCATGGCTCAGACAGTGGGAAAGTATGGCAGACCCTGGCCAGCAGAGTTTGCCTCTTGTGGCTGAGGATGAGAATGAATGCACAGTCGACAATAGTCCTGGGGAGAAAAAGGGAACAGCACCTCTACTCAAGGGGAGAGTGCCTATGGTGCCTCGGACACTCCCTCAAGAGGGGGGAGCCTGACCCTTGCCTAGACAGACTTTTATTGTTTCCCTGGGGTCTTACATCAGAGAGAGACTTATTATCTATTACACAGAATATTATCGTCTACATTTTAGGTACAATCAAGAAAATGAAAATAACACACAAAGGGGAATGGCGATGAGCTGATTAGCTCTGTCCTTGGGCAAATTCACACAGGCTTTGGAAATTACCTCGAAGACAGACAATACACATTTGTTGTTTTAGAGCAGGGTGATGGAGCTTTAGCAAAACAAGCCATAACAGCCTGTATGCATTTTCTAGGCCTGATTCCCACAGGAAACCTCGGTTTGAGGGTCTGACTCCCGCCCACCACTTCGCTTCTGTAGGTTTTCCATACAGAGCTGAGTCACATCTTCCAGGCCAAGACAAACCTGTCTCCTACAATTTCCCTTTTTTGTTCTTTTTGTTAAGGCCGTTGTGTGATGCATCCCACAAGACTTGCTACTTGCTGGTCTATTTTGTGACCCTGGGCAAATAATTTGTAAATGCGTCATAATATATAAAGCATTATTAAAATCAGTAAATAACCAGTGGCTCCAATGGACCACAATGTTAGGTTGAGTCCATCAAACCAGTGTTTTGGGTTTAATGAGCTGAGATTATCATTAATGGTTTGAAGAATCTCTTGCTTGGTTAAGTGTTGAGTGTCCTCCAACTGTTGGTGTAACTCTAGTTGCAATTTATTGATTTGTCCCTTTAAATTAGTAGAAAAAGCTCCTCTTAGGTGATGTTGAATATCAGTCCAGGAGTATTGGCTGGAGTTCCATTGTAGTGGGGTGACACACAGTTTGGAGAAACCAGGATCACAGGTCAGCTGCTGACGGGTCACTAGCATGTCCTGGCATTTAGTGATCCAGTTGAGGGCTGATTGGACTGCATAATGTTGAGTCAGGATTTCTTGATCAATCTGGGCCTGTTGAAGCATTTCTAAAGTGGAGTTGGTTAAGAGAACATCAACAGTATGAGCAGTTTGAACTGACCAAATGAGGGCAGCGGTTGCTATGGCTGCAGTAGCTGCAATGACTATAGCAGAAACAATAAATGCAATCAAAGTGCCAACAAACCATTGGACTCTTAAAGAGGCAGTGCATTGTTAAGCGCTATTATCCCATGGGGATGTTCCCATTCTCTGGTTACATTAACTGGCACCCATATCTGAGTTAGTCCAACTATATAAACTGTAGTGAGGATTAACTGATGCATATATGGAGCCTGCAGGGACCGGCAAAGAATCAATGTTTGCTGATTCATTATAAAATACTTTAGCTGTCCCGGGAGTTGCCAAAAACAAGTAAGGGTGAGAGATACAAACTGTGACCCAATCTTGTTTTAGATGGCCATCCTGAGAGAGGCTTCAAAAAATTTTTTTATACAGGTGATTTCTAGCAATAAAAGGCAAGCCCATTTTTCATGAGTTGTAATGCCAAGGGCCAGTGTGGTTGGGAGAAACAATTCTGATTACAGGTGCCCCAGTACTGGGCCCTTCCCACCACATATTAATTTATGGGATTTGAGGCAGAGTTGAAACTATTGTTGTGCCAAGTTTAGCCAGTACCTTCCAATTAGCTCCCCAGTTCTCCACTACAAACGGACTTTTCGGGAGAAAAGCAACAGTGACATTTGGTCCTCTGCATAAAGACCAAGAGACTGAGTCTGTATAATTTTTGTGTAAAATATAAGAAGAAAACGGAGGGGGATTGAGAATATGATAAATCTCCTCCTGGGTATGCAGACCAGTTATAGTTACCATGGAAAGCTGATAGTAATGACTGTATT